AATTATTTCAATTCTTAATTTATTGGTAACGTATATTGTATGAGATTGTATAAGCTAAACTTGTAGATAAATTGATTAGGAAATACTTGCATGCCATAATGGCAAAATATGGAGAACCATACCATAAATATTAAACACCTTTTGTATATTTTATAACCCATGTTTGCAACCGAAATAAATGATTTGATTTGATTTGATTTGATTTGAAAAAAAAAAAAAATGAAAAGTGCGTGTTACATTGTACAGTGTCATAATGTGCACCTCTGCCTACCCCAATAATCTGAGGATCATACAGAGTTTTTCCGTGCGGGAATCGGACCCGCGACACGTTGTTCGGCAGCCAGTTGCCCAGTCACGGCGCCAACCGTGCAGTCAGTTATCAAAAATTTAAAACTTCTTCGACAACTGCGCTTGCGCTCATTTGTACAACAACGCAAATGAGCAGCATTTATTTAAAATTTGTGATAAAAAAGATATGTAACAAAAACTAAACGACAATTTGGTTTTCATTAACGTAGAAGTGACACCTAACAGCACAAGTAAAGGGTTATAGTCAGAATTTTAATTAGATTCCAGATTTGACAATAGCTCCTGTCATTTTGTGAAATAATGATACCACATATAAGTGTAGTGATGGACACAAAAATCGATAAACAATCAGTGTGTGTGTTTTATAATAAATGTTACAGAAAGTTACAGGATAGCGATAGCGATGACGGCGACAATTTATAAAACAACTTATTACCATAATACATCTATCGGTTTTATTTGTCATGTCCCTTCATGATTACATTTTTTTATTTATTTCACACACAATTATAAAAGAAAAGTCTCAGATCATTAATTAATCGTCAAAACTAAATTATCGGTTCAGAAATATTTAATTTCCTGATATACTTAGTTTACGAGAGTAAAATTATAAACGAGAAGAATCGATCCAGAAATATTGCATTTCCATATCGAATAATTTCGCAACGTCACTATTTAGTACTTGTCATAACGTTGCAACACTGAAATTGTCAAAGTTGGAATCGAATTAAAATTCCGAGTATAGTTTAGGTGCTCCCTAACGCTAAATAACTCTTAATTATTTATTTTAGACTTAGTACAGTGACAAATGTACAGGTGGACTTAATGCCTTGGGCATTGTCTCACAGTCGACCTTAAGGTGGTGCAGAGATGAAAGTGGCAGGTGACTAACCAAATATTGATAATAAATAACTATATATAAATACTTACTTAGATACTTATATATACAGTCATACATATATATGTACACATACATCCAATACCTATATCATATAATAGTACTATACACATACATAATTAGAGAGAGACATAATTTGTAAGCCCCATTTCTATTATTGTGAGTACCTGAGAATACCTTGTAAAGAATCGTCATCATCAAATATTGTCTCTAAGAGCTCAATTTTAAAACATATTTTACAATACCAAAATACATCGACACTTGATTATACTCTGATGGACTATGGGCAGGAACCCAAAAGGAACAAAAGAGGGGTATGCCAAATACAACTTTACAATCAGTGTAATAAGGTCTATATTACTTTACCTGCAGAGCATTTTCCTCGCTGCCTTGGAATGCCGTGGTATCATTGTTAAGAGTCGAGTACTTGAACGAGAATCCTCGAGGGTATATAGGCCGACAGAGCAACGAGTCTAGTTGTCGCCGTTTAGACTTCAACTCTTTGTCTATTGATGCGTTCACTTGCTTCACTGGACTGTAGTAGATTGAGTTAAGGATTATTTGGCAATTTGTAACACTTTAAGTACATAATGTATCTTTAACTACTTCCGCGCAGTTTCACTCGCTCTGGGCTATCCAACACAGAAAGAATTTTTCAAATCGGACCAGTAGTTTCGGAGATTAGCGCTTTCAAACAAAAAAACAAACTCTTCAGCTTTATAATATTAGTATAGATTTGATTATAAATGGTATAGATTTATAAACTATTGTACACCTTGTAGGTATGTTACTATGCTACTATTATTATAATATATTTAACATCTATTGTCAACATGTAACAAACAATAAATGAATTTGAATTTGAAAATTTGGGATCCGGGAATTGAACCCGAGACTTGCCTACTTGTAACTATTTAACTAATATTATTCAATAAGAATAAAAATGGAAATTCGACGTTTTCTAAATTAACCTTCAAGCGGGCGCGCGTAGTCGAATCGACCGCGGTTAATACATTTTCGTTCGTATTTTTATTTTTAGTTGCCACATGCATTTCTAATTTCTAGTAGCCTGTCACTATCTTTTTAGGAGTAAAATAAAAACTATTCCGTTGCATGAAGCGCTCTCTCCACTCCACAAATTACAATTGTTTAGGCTCTGGCGCAGTCGTTGAAAAGACGACACGCGCCTGTCGTCGAATAGGTTACGCGCGACGCTCAACGCGACCTACACATGTCAATATTATCTAATTCAGCTTGGAGTTTTGGTGTTTTAAAGCGTTTTTTGTTTAAATAAGTCGTTTATAGTTATCGCAAAGTACAGTAATCGAGGAATTATAAAGAGAAGACGAAGAAGAGAGTGAATCAGAGCTCAGCAACCAAGGCTCTGAAACTTCTCATCACATAGTTTTAGAAGAACATCTATCTGATGAAATATCATCCTTGTCGGATTTAGATGAGAATAATTTGTAGCTTTCGGAAATAAATAGCTCTTTTACAAGTAGCAAAATCTGAAAAATTACTAGAATACTGACTCAGACGAAAATAAAATCAAAATCAATGAGTTTTTAGAGTTTTTATCCTTACTTTTTATTTATTTTTTGGTCTACGTATATAAACCAACCTAACATATGTAAACGGGTCTTAATTTTTATTTTGATCCGAAGAATATTTGAGTTACTTTAGGTGACTTAATTATTGCTTCTTTTTCATAATTTTAATTACTTGTTGTGA